TGTTTTAGAAAATTTTTCAAGTAATTTTCCTTAATTTTATAATGTAAATTTTAAATTACAGTAAATTTGAACTATTGAAGATATTTTGAAGTTTTTCAAATTAATGCTTAAACTTCATTAATACTTTTTGTTTTAAATTGAAGACTTAAATCCATTTTTCAAGGAAATATTTTAAAAGCAACTAATAAGGTACAAAGTTAAATACTATAAAATAGTTTGCAACCAAGTGAGACTACAGAAATTTCTGACTCCCAGATATAGATATTGGCTCTTTATAAAGCTAGTTTAGTGGGAGTTCTCCTCTGCAAAGCTATTAAGGTGTTAGCTTTATGGGTGGTGTTTAAATGTCTAAGTAGTTTTTCCAAAATGATTTACACACTCGATGTCAGTAAACGTAATATTACTTAATGACAAAATAATTTTGGAAGAGCTGCTCTGTTATGGACTTGGGGTTTACTTTAGCAGGCTTTTAAACGAATCAAAGTATGAATGTTTGTTGTGTTCTTTTTTTCTATTTTCAGGTCACGCATGTTGAAACATGGGAGAAAGGAAGCAGGAAAACAGCAGGCCAGACAGGGATGTGCGGAGGGGTAAGTAGAAGTACGTGCATTTTTCAGTTTTTCTGTATCTGATAACTGCGTTTATATTTAGAAAACTAGAGGCCTGTCAATTCTTACACTTAACTGACAATTTTTTAAATCTGAATTCAAGTGTTCAGTAAAATAGGATTAGAAAAGTGTTACTTTTTAATGCTTCTTTCTTAGTTCTGGATTATGGCTTGTTATTAATACCTAACAGGATTAATCATTGGTATTAAGTGTCTGTTAATTATTTTACTAATTTTCTTAACTTTCCCCTAAGGTTCGAGGTGTTGGAACAGGAGGAATTGTTTCTACAGCATTTTGCCTGTTATACAAATTATTTACCCTCAAGTTAACCCGAAAGCAAGTGATGGGTCTTATAACACACACAGACTCTCCATATATTAAGCGCTTGGATTTATGTATATAAGGTGAGCATGCATTTATGTATATTTCCAGTAAATACCTCATTTTAATTTACATACGATTTATAATGGTCTTTTGTAATTCTAGATATACACAGCCCCCTACAGATCTATGGGACTGGTTTGAATCCTTCCTTGATGATGAAGAGGTATGTCAAAAAGGGTAATAATTTATTTTCCTCTGATTATGCTCATTTTTTATCATCTTATTTGTTGGTGGTTTAATGTCTTCAAGAATTGCTTATAGTTAAATTTATTGCAGTCAGATACTTTGGCATTAATGTCCTTTTCCTGAGACCTGATGGCTTTTGTGTATTTTAGGGTAAATTTCTGAAGTTTTATTTTCTTGTTTTTAAATTGTTTAAATGTATTTGGTAACTATTGGAAAATTTTCTCTTCTTAATTATGTTCTGTGTATTGTATTGATCCTGAATTGTATAGTTGATAGTGACTTTTCAAGATGGGTCATGCTCAAGACTGAGGTGATGAAAGACATGCACATAGAATACTAACTGCAGCTTTTTTTTTCTTCTGTAAGATTTCAGCACTTCACCCTCTTAACTTCTTCCAAGTATCAGTATTCCCACTTGCATAGAAGTGCAGAATTGAAGAGCGGGTGTTACATAAATAGGCTAAGTGTTTGGATGACTTGTTCAAGGTGACAAAATTTTAATTCCAGCTTTCTGACTCCTAGTACACTACACATATATTTTTTAAAATTTTTTTAATTGGAATTTGAGTCTCCCTGATCTGAAATATTAAGTTAGATTTAAATCATATATGCATGTGTGTACTAGGAGAGAATAATAAAAAATAAATTATGTATGCATTGACTGGCATGGTGGCTCAGCCTTGTAAATCCCACACTTTGAGAGTTCAAGACCAGCTTGAGCAATATAGTGAGACCTCATCTCTACAAAAAAAAACCAAAAAACTTTAAAAATTAGCTGAGCGTACAGGCATACATCTTAGTCCCAGCTACTTGGGAGGCTGGGGTGGGAGGATCACTTGAGCCCAGGAGGCAGAATTTGCAGTGAGCCTAGATTGTTGCCATTGCACTCCAGCCTGGGCAACAGAGTAAGACCCTTTCTCAAAACAAAACAATGTCATATATGCATTAATTTACTTACATAGTGAAGTCTAACGTCTCAAAGTATACTCAATAATGAAATAATGAGCTGTATTATCCATTTGTCTGCCCACTCTGCTACTTTGTGTTTTAAGTTTTATAAAGCAGACTTTGAGTGCTATGTGTAAAATTTATTGAATTAAAGGATGGTTCTAATGGAAATGTATTTTGTCATTACATGCACACCTAAAAAAAAAATTCACCATCGTTTTAGACACAGAGTTTTATTTTTCTCTACCTTTTTTTTTTTGCCTGTTAACTGAGTTAATAACTCAGAAGTAAAATGTGTTTTAAATCACAATCTTTAAGGTCTTTTTATCTTCAGATGGGTTTTTCAGACTGACTGAAGCACTTCTGTTTTTAAAAAAGCATGTTCCTCTTCATAATTGGTGTTGTATTGGTTTTGTGTCTAGATGCCTCTATTTTATGTTTTTTATTATGTTTACAAACCTGAGGTCCTCTGTTTAAGCTAACTTATTGTTTTCTTCCTTAGATATCTGCAGCGATTATATTTGGAAATACTGTATATCTGAACACTTAAATGTGTGTGAGTGCAAGCAGTTTTACCTTTAGCTCTTGTTTTCCTGTTTAGATAACAAATCTCACTTTCCTTGTGTGCTTGCACTATAGGTTTGGGACTGACAATAGCTGACTAACATGTCCTGAGCTGTGAGAGGGCATAGCAAGAAGGCCTTCATGCGGTAATGACCCTTTTCAGAGACAATGGTCATCATGGATTATGCGTTTCCAATTATTTGTTCATTTATTTATTTTCTACATAACTAAATTAGAAACCTCACTGCTTCATGGCAGTTGGTTTGCTATTGCTTCCAGTTTTATTAGGGCTTCATTTTATATTAGAGCTGTTAAAGGATACCTTTAGACAGGAATTATCTAAAGTAGATCATATGTAGCTAGGTTATGGTGCTAGGTGTATGATGTGTGCAAATATGTCCACAGAAATAAATACATAGTAGGTATGTGGAATTAAATTTAAGTCAATCGTTCCACATAGTTGAGAAATGGAAGGGGCTTTTTCATATTGTTAACTGAGTGAGATCAATTCCCTTTATGCCCATGCGGCTGCAGGATTTGTTCTCACCTGCATGCACACACTAAGCCCAAATATTTCTGTTCATTCATTGCCAAATTAGGATATGAAAATAAAATTTTTGTGTTAGAATTTTTTTGAACTGAGAATCCAAAGATGGTAATATTTTTATAGTATTCATGTGTATATGGAAATACATTTTTGACGGCTAGGGCATCTTTTGTGTTTCTGTAGGACCTAGATGTGAAGGCTGGTGGAGGCTGTGTAATGACCATTGGAGAAATGCTACGATCTTTTCTCACAAAACTGGAGTGGTTTTCTACCTTGTTTCCAAGAATTCCAGTTCCAGTTCAAAAGAATATTGATCAACAGATAAAACCCGACCTAGAAAAATTAAGAAAGAAGGGAAGGAAGGCATTGAGGAAATAGACAGACATGTTGAACGCAGACGTTCAAGGTAATGTCACTCTTGAATTATGCTTATTTTTTATGTATGTTTCATGCAAAGTTAATGGTTCTGAGAAATAGCAATTTCTTAGGAATTTGTTTTTACTGTTTATTAGTTTGTCACTTTTACCCCTCCAAAAGTTATTTTCTTCCTTTCAGGGCTTTTTCTGTAAAATTATGCATCTGTAAGTGAGAACAGTCAAAGTTTTTGCTTTAGTGATTCTTGACATGGACTTAAGCTTGAGGACCTGAATAAATAATGCCGTTGAAAGTATTATTATTAAAAAAATTTTTACATGCTTTTATTCATTGAAATGTTTTCTCTCTCTGTCTTCCTTAGGTCTCCAAGGAGATCTCTGAGTCCACGGAGGTCCCCAAGAAGATCAAGAAGTAGAAGTCATCATCGAGAAGGCCCACGGGTCTTCTAGTTTGACAGAGAATTAGAAAGAGAGAAAGAACGCCAGCGGCTAGAGCGTGAAGCCAAGAAAGGGAGAAAGAACGTCGAAGATCTCGAAGTATCGATCGGGGGTTAGAACGCAGGCACAGCAGAAGTAGGGAAAGGCATAGAAGTCGCAGTCGGAGTCGTGATAGGAAAGGGGATAGAAGGGACAGGGATCGGGAAAGAGAGAAAGAAAATGAGAGAGGTAGAAGACGAGATCGTGACTATGATAAGGAAAGAGGAAACGACCGAGAAAAAGAGAGAGAGCGATCAAGAGAAAGGTCCAAGGAACAGAGAAGTAGGGGAGAGGTAGAAGAGAAGAAACATAAAGAAGACAAAGATGATAGGCGGCACAGAGATGACAAAAAAGATTCCAAGAAAGAGAAAAAACACAGTAGAAGCAGAAGCAGAGAAAGGAAACACAGAAGTAGGAGTCGAAGTAGAAATGCAGGGAAACGAAGTAGAAGTAGAAGCAAAGAGAAATCAAGTAAACATAAAAATGAAAGTAAAGAAAAATCAAATAAACGAAGTAGAAGTGGCAGTCAAGGAAGAACTGACAGTCTTGAAAAATCAAAAAAATGGGAACATAGCCCCAGCAAAGAAAAATCTAGAAAGCGTAGTGGAAGCAAAGAACGTTCCCACAAACGAGATCACAGTGATAGTAAGGACCAGTCAGACAAACATGATCGTCGAAGGAGCCAAAGTATAGAACAAGAGAGCCAAGAAAAACAACATAAAAACAAAGAGGAGACTGCGTGAAAATATTTTGTAAAAGTGGATCACATTGAATCCTATAAATGATTAAATCTGCTTTTTTTCCCCCCAAGTTGAGGTTGTGCAGTAGTTCGCACTCCTCAAGCTCTCCCTGTAGGCTGCATTTTCATTTCCTCTTTTGTGTAGGGAAGTGCCTTTGTAATTCCATTTATTGCATTGATGTTTTCACTCAGTTGTTAAGTTTGATACATGATGCACAGATTGTTCTTGCATTTTTATTGTTTGTTTTTGAAATGTACAGTCTGTACATATGTCCTGAATGTTTTAATTACTTTGGCATGGTTGCCATGTTGGTCAAATTTGTATAAGGCAATAAACTGCCACTAATCTATCTTTGTTTTGTAGGTGTGGGATTATGGTTTGTGTACTGAAGTTAGCATGGCTGTGCTTTTCGTAATAGAATGCTAAAGACTTTGAGAATGGATCTTGGATGTCTGTTATAGGAGAAATATGTGCTGTCAATATACATGAAGGCAGCATTGTAGGATTAACATTCTTGTCCACTGTATATTATCCTGGAAGGCTCCTGTTAATATGTTACACTTAATATTCTCCACAGTTACCCTTAGAGAGAATTTATGAGAAGTTCGTTTCTGATGCAGAGGTTTTTAGGCTGTGATTTCATGAAAAGTCCTTTTAGCATTCTACCTCAAAGGGACACTTAGTATGCCTAAAATTTATTCACTTAGTTTTCCTTTTTTATTTGAAAAAAAATACATGACATGTAATCTTTTTTCTTGAATTCTTTCTCAGATTTCAAAGTACTATATTAAAGAAAAAAATTAATGTCTAAAGCCTAGCATTCTTGTAGAACCCTGTACTAACATGTAATTGGGAGAGGGTGGGGCAAATGAGTAGAGAAACAGATTCAAGCCTCAAGCTTCCAAAGCATTTTTGTAAATGGGAAATCCTTAAATTATGAAACAGCTTGATATAGTGTCCTTTTTTTAAAATTCAGAACTTTTTTTATTGATAATGGAGATTGCTGTTGGAGTTTTTAAAGTTAATCTAGAACAGAGGAGTATTAAAAGTAATGCTATGCTGCATTATTTAAGACTATCAGCAAATTATTTGATAGATTGTTCTTATGACTTGTATTCTGATTACAGAGAACCATCATGAGTGTGGAATAAATACTGGATTAAATCCTTTATCCTGGGTCTTGGCTTTTCCCCAATTTCTTAACTTTTTTTTAAAATGTATTTTTAGTGTGGAAATGGATGAAACGCCAGTAGAGTCACAGTTTTTGTACAGGGATGTGTTAGTGGCCAGATGACAAGTGAATTTTAAAGAAATGCATAGACTGGGATTGGGTATATGATGGTAATCCTTATTCTTGATCATGGCATTTCCCTTTGTCAGTGGTTGTTACATGTGTCATTTGATTAATTTGTTCCACGTCAAAGATGTTTTTTGAGATACCTTTCACTTGTACAATATGTTAACTTTTTTGGACATGAAGGAAATTCTTTAAGATAACTCACCCATTTCTTTTTAGAAAAGAAAATAGAGGCCCAAAGTAATGTCATCAGTGCTAGAGCTAAAACTGAGTAATCTGACAGTGTAGTGATCCCGCCACACATTGGTGTTTGTTTTATCTCACTGGTTATACTGGCCAACTAATGGGCACTCAGAAGCCACTTTGCACAGAGGTGTTAAATGGAGCAATGAGTACACTTACAGGAGTCCTCCACATGTGGGCTTAACATTTGGACCACTCCATTTTAGAAAAATCATTAAATGAAGAAATTCATCTAAAAAGGATATGCTTTTTAAGAAAATTCTGTGGTCTTAAATTGAGCATCAAGCGAATTAGTACTATAGACCCCTAGAAATTAGAAAATCGTAAATATGAAAACCACTAGATTTGTGTTGAAAACCTATTTTTAGCATACCTAGATTATGGGGCTACTACTTTGGATGTGGTTCCACATGAAATGTTTATCTGATTGTGTATTTTAGGTAAAATGTGGAAAGCATTTAAATTACTTCAAATGGAGGTGAAAGAACTATTGGCTTGATTGATAGTTTGATGATAGTCACTATACATTTGATTTCTTGTGGGTTTTTTGTTTTTGTTTTGAGATGGGGCCTGGCTCTGTCACCCAGACTGGATACAGTGGCACAGTCTGTTCACTGCAACCTCCACTTCCCTGGCTCAAGTGATCCTCTCACCTCAGTCTCCCAAGTTACTGGGGTCAGAGGTACATGCCACCACACCCAGCTAATTTTTGTATTTTTGGTAGGGGTGGAGGGGAGTAGTTTCACCATGTTGCCAGGCTGGTCTTGAACTGGCCTCAAGTGATCCGCTCACCTCAGCCTCCCAAAGTGCTGCAATTACAGGTGTGAGCCACCACGCCCAGCCCTTCTTAAATGATTTTTAAATAATGTTTGCTTTTGAGGAAAATTATGGTAGGTATGAGAACATGTAAATTATGCTAGTTATTGCTATACCTATGCATGATTTATTTGGAGAGTGGCTTCCTTAGAAACTGGGAAAACAAGTGGCTATGAAAGACATCTCACATTTCTTGAGACATGAGAACACTTAGACACAGGGAGGAGAACATCACACACTGGGGCCTGTGAGATGGTAGGGAGCTAGGGGACTGATAGCATTAGGAGAAATACCCGATGTAGATGATGGGTTGATGGGTGCAGCAAACCATGACGGCATGTGTATACCTATGTAACCTGCACGTTCTGCACATGTATCCCAGAACCTATAATTTTAAAAAAAATACAGCTTAATATAACTAGCATCCTCCATCCAGTTTTTGTACTCAACTGAAATGATTTCACCTTTCCATGTATTAATATCTTTGCCTGGCTTTTAATGTTCAGTTTGGAATTAAATTTTATATACACGGGGTAGTATACCATCAACCTTAATTTTTAATATAAAATGTTCATTTTAGGCTGGGCACAGTGGCTCACGCCTGAAATCCCAACACTTTGGAAGGCCAAGACGGGCAGATTACCTGAGTTCAGGAGTCTGAGACCAGCCTGGCCAACATGGTGAAACCCTGTTTCTACTAAAAATACAAAAATTAGCTTGGCGTGGTGGCAGGCGCCTGTAATCCTAGCTACTCTGGAGGCTGAGGCAGGAGAATCACTTGAACACGGGAGGCGGAGGTTTCGGTGAGCGCCATTGCCCTCCAGCCTGGGCCACAGAGAGACTCCGTCTCGGGGGGGGGGGGGGAGTTCATTTTAATGTTGCCCAGTTTATCTCACTCTGGGTTAGTTCCTCAGTTCCTCTAAGGCAACAGTTCTTAACTTTTGAGTTCTGGGCCCATTTTTTAGGAATCTGATGAAAGATACAATTCTGTCTTTTAAAAAAGTACCCGTCTGGGTGCAGTGGCTCATGCCTGTAATCCCAGCACTTTGAGGGGCCAAGGCAGGAAGATCACGAGGTCAGGAGTTCGAGACAAGCCTGGCCAACATGGCGAACCCTGTCTCTACTAAAAATACAAAAATTAGGCAGGTGTGGTGGCATGCTCCTGTAGTCCCAGCTACTCAGGACGCTGAGGCAGGAGAATCGCTTGAACTCAGGAGGCGGAGGTTTCAGCAAGCCGAGATCACACCACTGCACTCCAGCCTGGGTGACAGACCAAGACTCCATCTCAAAAAAAAACAAACAAACAAAAACGCAGGGGTTGGTGGTGGGTGCCTGTAGTCCCAGCTGCTCAGGAGGCCAAGGCAGGAGAATCGCTTAGAACCTGGGAGGCAGAAGTTGCAGTGAGCCGATATCTCACCACTGCACTCCACCTTGGGCGACAGAGGGAGACTATCAAGAAAAAAAAAAGTACCCTAAAATTTGTGTGTAGTTTCAAAGGAACTCACGAACTGCCCTAGGACATCGGTTCTGTTCATTAACTGATTTTTTTTTAAATCTAAGCTATGCTTAGATATACAGTATTTGGGAGTTAATAGCATGATAAACCAAAAATTTAAGTTCCTAAGAATACTTAGGCAGTTAGTTCCAAAGGGAGTATTTATTTGTTTTTTTTTTTTTTTTTTTTTTTTTTACTTAAAGGTGCAGAGGAAGAAAAAATGGCAATTGTATTCACTTAATTCTCTTCCCTAAAAGTTGTCCTTTATGAATATAAAGTTTTTGGTTAGTAGAGATGAGGTCCCACCGCTGGCGGTTTATATGTCTTTCAGCTGATGCCAACGTACAACCTCACTGACTAGTTGGCCCATTGTCAGGTGATATTGGCCAACTGGTGGGCGTGATTCTGGCCCTAGTTTGATTCTGTCATGTAAATGCTGAAATCAGCCTTGAATGACTAAATTATAGGACCTCTTAAGTGGAGCTGATTTCATGTGGCAAGAAACACTTCTTGATAGTGTCAGTCTCTGGAAGTCCCCCTCCATCATTCGGTCCTGTAAGGTCCCATAGCACTTTGCAAGTACCTCTGATATGGCATTTATTGGGACCATTGTCTGTCAACATTTATTATTGTGGGAAACGACATGCATGACGGCATGAACACAAATGGAAAATGTTAGCATCATGGCTGACTTAAAATCTATTATTTGATTTCTCAGAGCATTGATATTCAAAGGATTTCTATTTGCATAATCATGATCCACAATGTATCGCACAGATACATATAGGGGTGTGTGTGTGTGTGTGTGTGTGTGTGTGTGTGTTGGGGGGGTGGAAGGTGCCTTTTCAGCCTATTGTAAAAAAAGAACTGACCTTAAACATGACTTAGCATTTCATGTAAACCCTGAGGTTTTGCCAATGACTGGAAAAAGAACTACTTATTGTAAAGAAATCCTTACATGAGCTTCCCTGATCTGTAGATACTTAAAGTCCACCAATCTTCAGTTGTTTTCCTTGGCTGATTCTTGTTCTTCTGGCCATTATGAAGCTGAATTATTTCTCTATTTCTTGAGTCAGTGGAATTAGTCACACACATCCCTGCCACCGCCCTCCAACAAACTCCATCAGCTGTGAACCCCTGACATCCAAAATAAACATATAATCTAGGTGAAAGCAAACAGTGCTTGCTGAGCTAATGCAAGGGAAGATCTCTTGTCTTCTCCTTCCCTCTCATTTAGAATTTTCAAAGACAGGGCCAGGGGCGGTGGCTCCCGCCTGTAGTCCCAGCACTTTGGGAGACCTAGGCGAGTGGATCATGAGGTCAAGAGATCAAGACCATCCTGGTCAACATGGTGAAACCCCGTCTCTACTAAAAATACAAAAAATTAGCTGGGCATGGTGGCGCGCGCCTGTAATCCCAGCTACTCAGGAGGCTGAGGCAGGAGAATTGCCTGAACCCAGGAGGCGGAGGCTGCAGTGAGCCGAGATCGCGCCATTGCACTCCAGCCTGGGTAACAAGAGCAAAACTCCGTCTCAAAAAAAAAAGAAAAACAAGGAATTTCAAAGTCAGTGTCCTGGATTTTCAACTATACCAATAGAAGGGATGTCTTAAATGCAGCACTCATCCAGTCAATCCAGGTACTGGTTCAGTGAACATTTCCTGAATGAAGTGTTCCATGAGTTATGCTGAACCTTGTGCAGAGACAGCCAGTGAGTTCCGGATGTGCCAGTTATCTACACATTTTCTAGCTCCACATCCACCTTTTATTTCCCAGCTTTGTGATTCTGGACCTGGACTTTTAAACATTTTTCTGTTGCCAGCTGGCATAATCTTAAGCTTGTCAGTGGAAGATGCTGGAGGGAGATGTGTTTTCTTTTTTCATTTTGCTTCTGCATTGTGTAGTGGCCAGTGGCATGTAGAGCACCCAGTGATACAAAGCCCCCAGCAAATTTTCGTAGCATCTCATTGAGAGAAGTAGGAGTTCCCCACAAGTCCACTAGTTCCCCTGCCAGCTTCCTAGCAAGTTGCTAGGCTCCAGCAGGCAGCTGCCCAGCAGTTTCAGCAGGACCCCACAGGTTTCCCAGTAAGTCTCAGTGGCACCCCAGTGGTGGTGTCCTAGCTAGTTTTGTTGATACCCTCTGCTCTCCAGCTCCCACCTTCAGCATCTCAGCATTTGCTGAGAAGCTACAACTGCACCCTCTCCAACAAGGTCTGACCTTGCAAGGGAACATCTCCCAAACGTTTTTCTTTTTGGTTTTGGTTTTTTGTTTTTTTGATGGTTATTGTTGTTTTAGACAGAGACTTGCTCTGTCACCCAGGC